ACCTTTGCCAATACATAAAATTAAAAAAAAAAAGATGGGGCACCTGGTGCCTCAGTCAGTTAATCATCTGACTATTGATTTCAGCTCAGGTCATGATCTCATGAGTTCCATTAGAAGGCTTAACTAACAACAAAGTTCCTGAGCAAGGAAGAGTCTCTAAAAAAAATAAATCACTCCACCTATAGCACAATATGAAAAGAAAGGATGAGGCGCCTGGGTGGCTCAATCGGTTAAGTATCCAACTTTGGCTCAGGTCATGATCTCATGGTCCGTGAGTTCGGGCCCCATGTTGGGCTCTGTGCTGACAGCTCTGAGGCTGGAGCCTGCTTCAGATTCTGTGTCTCCCTCTCTCTCTGCCCCTCCCCCACTCCTGCTCTGTCTCTCAAAAAATGAATAAATGTTAAAAAAAATTTAAAAACAAAAAGGGATGTAGCATCAGGCTAAAATTCACCATTTATTCGTTGTGCAATCTTACACAAATTATTTAACATCTCTGGGTCAGTTTTCTCATCTGAAAAATACAAAATCCAACATGCTTATGTTTATGATCACGATTATGAAACAGAATGGATAATACAATGTCAACACTTGCCCATTCCCTCAAAATTGTTTTTAAGTTATTCTAAAAGCTACCTGTAAGACATGGTTAATTGTTTTCCAATGCCTGGCTGTAACTTTTAAAAAATACCAATTAATCAAAGCTTGCAATGGAACAAATACTAATCACATGCTTTGAGTATTTTTAGTTCCTTCCTTCCTTCATTAAATAATTGATTAGCTGGGGTACCTGGGTGGCTCAATCAGTTAAGCACATGAATTTTGATTTCTGCTCAGGTCATCATCTCAGTTCATGGGTTTGAGCCCTGTAACAGGCTCCATGCTGACAACGCAAAGACTGCTTACAATTCTCCCTCTGCCCCTCCCATGCACCCACTTGATCGCGCTCTCTCTCTCTCTCGAAATAAACAAAAAAACTTTAAAAAATTATTATTATTAGCTTAATTTGTAGCCAGGAATTATTAAAATACAGGTGCTAGAAGAGTATCGTGGTAGATGAAATAAGTCAAAGACAAATACCATAGCATTTCATTCATGTGGAATTTAAGAAACAAAGAAGAAAAAAAAAGAAAAACCAAAAAACAATCTTAACAGAGAGCAGGGGAAGTGGGTGAAATAGGTAAAGGGAATTAAGAGTACACTCATCTTGCTGAACACTGAGTAATATACAGAATTGTTGAATCACTGTATTGTATGTACACATGAAACTAATATAAAACTATATATTAACTGTACTGCAATTAAAATTAAATTTAAAAAAAATACAGGTGCTAGGATTATAGTACTGAACAAGACCAAGTCCCTGCCCTCAATGGAACTTGGCATTCTCCTGCAGAGAAAGACCTACAAATTAAAACAGTAAATGCTTTGACAAAAAATAAATTGGAGAGTATCAGTTGATACTGCAGCGGGGATGAATAAATGAAGATAAAACAGCTTCTCTAAGATGTTCCCTAGCAAAATATGAATAAAGTGGAACAAGGAGAGCAAGCATTCTCTAAACAGAGTGTAAGACCAAAATCTCTGAGAAGTGGCAGTGCTGTAAAACATATGAAACACGAATTACAGCTTTAGCATGAACACCTGACAGTCCCAAACAAATTGAAAAATGCTTTACATATCACCAAACTATGCTCCATGGGGCAGAGATGTTTTACACGGACTTTGTGTCCAATTCCCCAAACCTTAAAACATTTGAATACTCCCAACCAATAGTAAAGTAAATGGATACTTTATCTCTAACAGAGATAAAGGAATCAATGCAGCAATCAACTAGGGAACTTTTCCACCAAATCCAGTCTAAAGACTAAGGATGAACATCAAGAACACCACCCTGGGCAAATTGAAAGCAAAGGCATGTTAATACGGCAACAGGTTGAATGACTATTATAATTACTTACGAATATTTTTAAGTAAATGGATACACCATTCATGGACTAGAAAAAAGTCAGTATTATGAAGATGTCAATATGTTCCTCAGAATGACCTGAACACTCAACACGATTCTAATCAAAAGCCCAGAAGAACTTTTTTCAATTGACAAGGTGATTTTAAAATCAGTAAAGATGCAGAGGGTGCCTGGGTGGCTCAGTTAAGCGTCCAACTTCAGCTCAGGTCATGATCTCACAGTTCATGAGTTTGGCCCCACAGCCAATTTGGGATTCTCTCTCTCTGCCCCTCCCTCACTCATGCTCTCTCCTGCTTGCTCTCAAAATAAACTTTAAAAAATATATAAATAAATAAAATAAAATCAGTAAAGATAATCTGAAACTAAAGTAACATTGTACATTAATTACACTCAAATTGGGAAATAAATCAAATCAGTAAGGCTATACCAAAAAAAAAACACAACACCCAGAACAATTGGGTGATACTACTTGATTTCAAACCTTAGCACAGTGCGGGGTGCCTGGTGGCTCAGTCAGTAAAGCATGCGAATGCTGATCTCAGTGTTTAAAGTTCGAGCCCCACACTGGGTAGAGATCACTAAAAAATAAAATCTTTCTTTTTTTTCTTTTTAAAGTTTATTTATTTATAGTGAGAGAGACAGAGACAGTACCTGAGCAGGGGAGGGGCAGAGAGAGAGAGGGAAAGAGAGAATCCCAAGCAGGATCCATGCTGTCAGCAGAGCCCGATGTGGGGCTCAAACTCACTAACTGTGAGATCATGACCTGAGCCGAAACCAAAAGTTGGGACGCTTAAGCAACTGAGCCACCCAGGTGCCCCTTAAAAATAAACACTTAAAAAAAAAAAAAAGAGTGAAAGACAGTACTGGTGTAAAAGACACACCAATTGGTGAAATGAAAGTGCAGATTTTCTTCCCCTCGATTTTTGATAAAGATAAATGGTAAAAAAGGAGAAATCATAATCTTTACAATTACTGGTGCTGCAACAAATGGCACTTATATGGAAAAAAAAATCTACTATCTCACAGCATACTCAAAATGGATCACAGGTATAAATAAAAAAGCTAGGGATGCTGGGGTGGCTCAATCAGTTGAGCGTGAAACTCTTGATCTCAGCTTGGATCTTGATCTCAAGGTCATGCGTTCAAGCCCCACGTTGGGGTCCACGCTGGGCATGGAGCCTACTTTAAAAAAAAAAAGAAAAAGAAAGAAGAAAAAAAGCTATAAAATGTCTTAAGAAAGGACAAGAAAAGCTTTGCTACCTTAGGAAGGGAAAAAATTTTCATACAAGGATCCAAAAAACATAAACCATAAAAGAAAAAAAATGTAAATTATACTTCACTGCTGCTTTCTGAAGAACACTACTAAGAAAATTAAAAAGCAAGCCACATACTAGAAGAAATAGTCCTAAAACAGACCTGTATCCAGATGTTTTAATTCGATAAGGCAAACCACCCAATTAAAAAATAGACAGGGACACCTGGGTGGCTCAGTCAATTAAGCATCTGACTCTTGATTTCAGCTGAGGTCATGATCTCACGGTCTGTTGAGATCAAGCCCCAGGTCGAGCTCCACGATGACCATATGGAGCCTGCTTGCAATTCTCTCTCCCTCTATCTCTCTGCCCCTCTGCCACTTGTGCTCTCTCTCTCTCTCCAAAATAAATATTTTTTAAAAATAAAAACTAGGGGCGCCTGGGTGGCTCAGTCGGTTAAGCCTCCGACTTCAGCTCAGGTCATGATCTCGCGGTCCATGAGTTCGAGCCCCGCGTCGGGCTCTGGGCTGATGGCTGATGGCTCAGAGCCTGGAGCCTGCTTCTGATTCTGTGTCTCCCTCTCTCTCTGCCCCTGCCCCATTCATGCTCTGTCTCAAAAATAAATAAAACGTTAAAAAAAAATAAAAAAAATAAAAACTAAATTTAAAAAATAGGCAAAAAATTTGAAGATACTTCACAAAAGATGTAAAAATAGACAAAAAGCAAATGAAAAGATGCTAATCACTAGTTGTTTGGAAAATAAAATTTAAACTCACCAGGAGACACTCCTATACTAGACTATCCAAAAGACTAAAACTATCAAGTGTTGGTGAAAGTATGGAGCAACTAGAACTCTCTCACTCATTGCTTGTAGGAATGTAAAATGATACAACCATTTTGAAAAACAATTTGGCAGTTTCTTATGAAGTTGAAAATTCAGCCATTTATCCCTAATTACCCAAGCCACATGAAAGTATAATGTTCACAAGAAGCCTGTACAGAAATGTTCATAGTAGCTTTATTCACAATGGCTAATAGTTGAGAGCATCTCGAACATTCACCCACCCTTAGGTCACTGGGCAAACTGTAATTATGTCCATATGGTGGAATAAAACTCTGCCATAAAAGTGAGCAAAATACTAATACAATAATATGGATGGAATCTCATTAACATTATGCTAAGCAAAAGATATGAGACACAAAAGAGTACAAATTATTTCACTTATACGAAATAACCAGAAAAGACAAAAGACAAACTAATTTATAAGAGCAGAAAGACCAATAGCTATCTAGGACAGGGTTAAGGGGTAGAGAGAAACTGCAAAAGGGCATAAAGGAACTCGTCAGGATGACGAAAATGTTCTAGATCTTGATTGTGGTGCTAAGTTACATACATCTGTTAAAACTCCTTGAGTTCTATGTTTAAAATTGGGAACATTTTAATTCATGCAAATTATGCCTTAAAAAAACCTGAGTAAAATGTAATTCATCCATTTGTTATTTAAATATAAAATTTTACTTTGCATATAACATTCAGTAAACTGAATAAAAATCGTAATACAAATCATTTCTAAGATTCAAGTATGAATCAATACACTGAAGTCTGAAGTATGACTCTTGGAATCACACAAAAATTCCTGTTTATATTCACTATATACTTATTCAACACCTACTTACCATATGACAAGACAGTATGAACTGTATAAAGAAAGACAGAAGTTCAGCACAGAGAGAGAAGCCCATATGTAACTGCATAGGATGATGAGATGTTTAAAACTTACGTTGTTAGCAAGAATGCCCCATCACCACATCTTTCCAGAGCCTTTCGTGCAGGAGGTTTTGCTGCAAATTCTACAAAACCTTTTCCTGTAGCTCTACCACGATCATCCACAACCACAACGGCTTTCTCTACTGGACCAAACTGGGAAAATGCTTGCTCTAGAAGCTCATTGGAAACAACCGGCGAGAGGTTCTTGACAGTTAGGGCTGCTCCATGTGTAGCAAAACGAATTCGGAGAGGTCTGCTCTTCAAAATGGTGCCATCCAGCTCTGCTTTTGCAATTTCAGCCAGTGTTCTGGATTCCTTTTTAGGAGGAAAAATCACTTTTTAAAGATGATAGTAATAAACACAAATACTTTTAAATAGTGGTTTCTAGGGAGAAGAGCTGGGTAGCTTTTGGAAATGGCTGATAGGGTCACTTTGTTTTGTGTCTTTCAATTTTGGTATCACATGCATTTAAGTGTTCAAAAAATAACTGTAAACATTTTAATTAGAAAATCCCAACCCCAGGGGCGCCTGGGTGGCTCAGTCGGTTGAGCGGCCGACTTCGGCTCAGGTCACGATCTCACGGTCCGTGAGTTCGAGCCCCACGTCAGGCTCTGGGCTGATGGCTCGGAGCCTGGAAGCCTGCTTCCGATTCTGTGTCTCCCTCTCTCTCTGCCCCTCCCCCATTCATGCTCTGTCTGTCTCTGTCTCAAAAATAAACAAACATTTAAAAAAAAAAAAAAAAAATCCCAACCCCAATGTCCCAAGTCATCAAAGATGGTCTACTCATACACAAATTACCAGCTATTAAATATTCACAGCAGTATCTTTTTTAAATCTCTTACATATATTAAAAGAAAATCATAATTACTTTTTGAGACCAAGCACCGGTTACTAGAAGCTATTACTGAACAGAATAATTTTCAGTATATACTGTTTTTTGATATTTATATCTTTTATTAAAACAACCCACCTCTCCAATGCTACACAAATCCCCTTTCCTCTTTCATTTTTTACATTTCCTATGAAAACTATTATTAGATGTTGTTAACCAGGTCTCCTGAAATACTTTCATGGGCTACACATTTCTCCATTATATTGAGAGAAGCAAACACATACATTCATGGGCTGTAAGAGTTATCTCCATTATACAGAAAATCAAGTACACACCCGTTTATAAACTAGAAAATATGTTCAATGCTGAAACCACAAGAGAACTTCCTTCTTGAAGAATTCAAAGTTGGTATAGAATACAGACATCTAAACATAATCAACAAACAAGTTTAATATAAGTATGTTCTTTTCCTTTGTGTTGTGAGAACTCTACAGTGAGAATTTAAACAGGTTTTATATGCATTTGTAGTAAGAGTAAAAATATACTGTCTTATGAAAAAAGTCTTAAGGTCACAACAGATCTTTATTTAATACCTAAAATACAACAACTTTAAATTACTACAACTTACACAAAAATCTATAGAACTAATTTTACAAAGACAAGTCTAACCTTTTTTTTTAATGTGTATTTATTTTTGAGAGAAAGAGAAAGAGCACGAGCAGAAGAGGGGCAGAGAGAGGACAAAGGATCCAAAGCAAGCTCTGTGCTGACAGCTGAGAGCCCGACACAGGGCTCAAACTCAGCAACTGTGAGATCATGACTGAGCCGAAGTCAGATGCTTAACTGAGCCTCGGGGTGCCCCAACAAATCTAACCTTTTTACAGATACTCAAAATGGCTACTTTTTAAAAATGTTTTTATTTATTTTTGAGACAAAGAGAGACAAAGCATGAGCAGGGGAGGGGCAGAGAGACAGGGAGACACAGAATCTGAAGCAGGCTCCAGGCTCTGAGCTGTCAGCACAGAGCCTGACGCAGGGCTCGAATGCATGGATTGTGAGATCATGACCTGAGCCGAAGTCGGATGTTCAACCGACTGAGCCACCCAGGTGCCCCTCAAAATGGCTATTTTTAAAAAATTACTCTTAGAAATTTTTAATTAAAATTACTCTTAACAAAGTAATACCAGCAAACATTTAATAAATATCTAACAGGGGATAGGCACTTTGCACCTAATCTGTCATATGACCCAACAACTCTTAAGAGGTAGATTTTAAGAATGAAGTCTTGAATTAAAATGCTGTTAGGTATGGAGTGCCTGGGTAGCTCAGTCAGTTAAGAACCTGACTTCTGAAGCTCAGTTCACAATATCACAGTTTGTGAGTTGGAGCCCCGCGTCGGGCTTTGTGCTGACAGTGCAGAGCGTGCTTCAGATCCTCTGTCTCCCCCTCTCTGCCCTTTCTCTGCTCACTCTCTCTCAAAAATAAATATTAAAAATAATAATAATAATGCTGTTAAGTTTAATTGGGAATGGGAAGGGACAGGAGGAAATTTCAAGAGATGATAACGTTCTCTATCCTGATAGTTTGAATTAAACAAATGTTATTTATCTAAAATCACCAAATTGTACACTGAAAATTTGTTCATTTTGCTGTATGCAGAGGTCAAATACCTCAAAAATAATATTGGACTCTAGTTACTAGTAAGCATGCTGGATGGGCACCTTGGGTGGCTCAGTCGGTTGAGCATCCGACTTCGGCTCAGGTCATGATCTCACGGTTCGTGAGTTCGAGCCCCGCGTCAGGCTCTGTGTTGACAGCTCAGAGCCTGGAGCCTGCTTCAGATTCTGTGTCCCCCGCCCTGTCTCTCTCCGCCCCACCCCTGCTTGTGCTCTGCCTTTCAAAAATGAATAAACATTAAAAAAAAATTTTTAATAATAAGCATGCTGGAGTGTTTAAGAGTCAAGAACTGATGGATGAAAAGATGAATAGATATGTGAAAAACACATTATAAGAAAACTTAAGTATGAATCTAGATGGTGGATCTATGGCTGTTCATTTCTATGTATCTGAAATTTTTCATAATAAAATGTTAGGGGTAGAAGGATAAAGAGAACTTGGTGAGGACTTTCTAAAAGTGAAAAGTGCTTCCAGAGGATGTCTCCTCTTCAGATTCAGTCAAGTATAATCACAATGTCATATATTTTGTTTTTCCACAGAGGAAGCAGAAAATCCCCAATTTTTATGTTAAATCAAGTAATTTTTTTTACAGTTGGCAATGAATTCAATTTTTAATACTTTTGAGCCAAATGAAATGTTTATGCTGTCAGGAATTTTCAATGCCATGATCCTTCTTCAAAGTTTATACTCTTCATGGTTTTAAATAATTCCGCACCGGAGTTTCTCAACTTTAGCACTACTGACATTATGGGCAAGATAATTCTTGGCGGGGGGGGGGGGGGGGGG